AAGAGAAGAAAAAAAAAAGAAAAAAAAAAAAAAAAAAAAAAAAAAAAAAAACTCACTCACGGGTTTTTCGAGACTAGCCTGGCACATGTTGTATGTATAGATAGTATATCAATTATTTCTTGCTCGCTAGAGACTTAATTTTTTTCTGTGTATTGAGGTGAATTTATGTAATTGATTATATTGGCTTCATTTGTAATGAAAATCGAGTGTCGTTTCGCCTAAATCATCGATTAAATTGCAATTAAATTGCTAGTAGAATGACAATATATTTTTGCAGTATTGATTTATGCAATAGTTAACTGATGATTTTATACAACGTGGGACGGAATTTTTCGTACTCAATTTCCATTTGTTTATTTTTTTCTCGTAGGAAATACTGTGATTCCCAATCGGATCGTGTATGTATACGTAGATAGATACACATGCCATGTTCGATAGTATTGGAATTGTACTGAGCGAAAAATGAGTAATTCGACAATGGAGGAACGTTGTGAATTTTGCAAGGCGTTAAGGCCGATAGTGTATTGTAAGGCGGACGCAGCGTATCTCTGCCTCTCGTGCGATTCGAAAGTCCACTCAGCCAACGCTCTTTCGTTCAGGCACCCTCGTACGCTCGTCTGCGAATCATGCAACAGTCTGCCAGCTGCCGTGCGGTGTTTCGCCCACCGGATGTTCATGTGCCAGACCTGCGATGACATCATCCATCGTCGTCACCGTGATGATGTCGTCGGTTTTCCGCACCAGAAGAAAGTTATCGGTTGTTATATGGGATGCCCCTCTGCCAGAGATTTAGCTTCATTGTGGGGATTTGATTTTAATGAATTGCACAACAATTCTATTATTGGTAAATAAAATTAAAAAAATTATCAATTTTGAATTTTTCTTTTTTCAATTAATTAGATTTTAGTTATGTAACTTGAAAATTTAAAATAAATGATATGTTCTTTTGTACAGAATGTGAAGGGGGATTCAGCAGCAGAGGAACGAAGGTACGCGTTGATGAAGCATAGTCGTATATATACTCGATTTTATTCTTCAGTTATTCGTATTCAAACAATCATATATATCAGGTCTCGTTTGTTTGGTAAGATTAGCCCGTTAATCAAAATAAGAATATTTGATCTTATCTAGGCTTATCGTTTTAAGTTTGCATATACAATCGCGAAGCAGGCAATAGGGCCATTGCCCCCTACTATTTTCCGAAAACTACTATGTTATAGAGATTTGTTATCTTTCGAGCAGTATAATATTGTGGGCCCCACAAGGCTTGTTTGGTTTTTTTTTTTTTTTTTTTTTTGAATTTGTTGATGATTGTATGCTATTTGTATAGGTAGTTGAAGACGACGAACGAGATCAACATAGGTACTCGATTCTGCAACAAATCCTCTACTTGGAGAGGCTTCAACTCTCCGAGGAAATCGACGGTCCACATTCATTACACATCAAAGAGCATAAAACCCTCAACAACAACAACAACAATAATAATAATCCAATGGATAATTTTGATGGGAATCTTGAATTCCAACAGAAAGAATATTCTCTCGAGGAGAAGACCGACGCTTCGTCGTTTTCACAGCTGGACCACTTGGCAAGTAATAATGGAAATCATCATTTGCATGGAGATAATTCATTTTGGCAATACAAAAGCCCTTCTCATAATAACGAGGTTGTCTCATTAGTACTATCTTCTTAACTATATATGTGTATCTATATATGTATATACACACACACTAGTTATAAATATATAATGCAATAATTGTGCATGCAGATTTGGCTTCAGAATATGCAAGACCTTGGAGTTTGCGACGAAGTACAATGTTTCGACAACGACGATGTCAATATACCGGACATCGATTTGACATTCCGGAACTTTGAAGAACTTTTCAGAAACGAGCACGACCCAAGTTTTAAATTGGATCAAGATCCATCGTTTGGCTTCGGAACCACAATCGAGGTTTCAAAATTTTCAAGCATTCGTTTCACTTCAAATTTTTTTGGGATTATTTTGATATATTATGACATGATAATGTTTCCCTTTTTGCAGCACTACAATGATTATAATCAATTACAAACGATGATTAATAATCCGTCGTACTACTCCGCATATCAATATCAAGATGGAACATCATACGATTCGAAGAGATCGAATTTTCATGGTAATGAAAATGTCATTATGAGAAATAAGGAGAAAAAAGCTTTGAGGTAATTATTTATTAATAGAGTAGTTTTTTTAATTAAAGTTGTTGAAAATAAGATTTGGGTTCCTTTGTTTTTTTTTTTTTTTATTTATTAATTTTTTAAGGCATGAAAAGCAAGCCTATTATACATCTCCAAAATCGAAATCTGAAATCAAGAAACGCGGGAAAGGTGAAGTATGTTATAGATGGAATTATGCATTATATTGAAGGTATTATATACTACTACACACACTGGGTGTGTACTGTGTTGTACATGTAATATTATCCCACGTGGAAACTCAAGAATTAATGTTTGATGAATTTCAAATATTTAAATCTGCCCTTCTTTCACTTAATTATATGTGAGTTCCCAATTTTGTATTTGGGTAAATTACAAACACCCCCCTGAGGTATGGTCAAATTACAAAAACCCCCCTCTTGTTTGGATAATTACATCTACCCCCCTCAACTATGATTTTTTCTTAGACCTCCACCTTTATGGTGCCAAATTCAACATAGTCATCTAGATTCCGTGAATTGTAATCTAGTTTGTACTCTTTTTGTGTAAAAAATACAGTTTTCGATGCAGCACAAACTGATATATACAAGCTAAAAATCACATATTATGATCATCTTGCTTCATAATGTAGAGTTTGAATGGGATAAAACGGGTACAAAAGTGATAATATTCCATATAATCTCTAAGATTCCACTAAATTTGATGAGTTGAGGGGGGTGGTTGTAATTATTCAAACAATAGGGGTGTTTTTGTAATTTGACCATACCTCAGGGGGTGTTTGTAATTTACCCTTTGTATTTTAATGGAATAATTACACAGTGTTTCCGGTTTTTTTTTTTTTTTTTTACTCGAGTCCATAAAAGTATTGAGCAAAACTTAAGTTGCAAAAATCCTAACTTTGAAATTAAGATATTTTTTCACTAAATTTCTACAACAAGTAAATATATAATGAAGAATATGAAATGATAATTATAAAATAGAAATAATATGTAGAGGTTTATAAATTTGTATTTTGCAATTTTTATTTTGACATCTTTTATATATTATTTTTACCGTAAAAAAAATAAGAATTACAATTAAGTATTTATAATAATATTACCGATTTTTCAGTAAAATGAAAACAATCGACCGACTCATTTATACATGGATCGGTTAAAATTACAAGCCCACTATATATGTCGGTTAATTATCGATTTTCGACCAAAAAAAATGGGTCGAAAGTGGGTCGGTTTGCCTATAAAACCACCCATGACCCAACTCTATGTATACATATAGAGCCCATGAAAGATTAATTACCCAATCATTAATTTTGTTTTTTGTTTTTTCGTAAAGTTAAATTCGTCTTAGGTCTTAGGTGTTACACATGAAATAATGCCCATATGATTAATTTACCCATTTGGCTACTAGCTATGGCAAAGTTTATAATTAATTTTATAATTTCTCACCCACCCCCCACCCCAAAAAAAACATACCTATTTGCATAATTATAATCTAAAGTGAAAAAAGTTGCCATGCTATATTCTCTCAATTGGGATCCAATGCAAAGGCGTGCATTATTAGCTGGTGCATTTTATATTTTTCTTAATTCTTTATTGTATAAACCTAAAAAATTAAAATCATTAGATATATATATATATATATGTGTGTGTGTGTGTGTGTGAATGAGCTGTCAATGAGACTATTCCAATGTAGAAAACTAAGAACATAAAAGATGCCTGTGAAGCACGAGCAATATACATGTGAGATAGTTGTCAAAAGTTACAAAAGTTATTGGAAAAATCACTTTCTTTATTTCTTTCTTTCACTTTACACATTCTTAGTGTGAATAATATAATTCTTTTTTCTTATATTCACATTTAATAACAATTGTAGGTGTTTTCATTGAATTTCACGCATAATTCGTCCTCGTTTAATAAGGATGTTGTTAGAGTTTCTACGTATTCGAAGTAACTACTTAATCAGGTCAAGACAATACTACGGAACTCTCGTAATTCTAGATACGTAAGATGTTACCATTCGATAATCATCTCCTTTGGAATTGAATTTTCTGAATTCTTCTAACAGCGAAAAACTAATTTGAGGGTAATTTTTTTAAAATGCTATTGTTTATATTATTGCATCATATATATCTAGCTTTTTTTTTTTATTATTATTTATTTATTTAATGTTAATTAAAAAGAAACTAGCATCTTTTCCCCGTGCGATGCACGGGATCTTATTTTAAAAGTGATAAAATAAATAAAATTAATACATAATAAGAAAATATAGTATACTAAAATAGTAATATTTAATAATGTAATATTATTCATATTTTATATAACATTATTTTTTTTAAATCTTATATATTAAGATTTATAATCCAAATTAGAGAAAAAAATTAAAAATAAATAACTACCGAAGTACCATTAGGGTAGGATTCTTGTTTAGTTTAAATTTTGATAATTGTTAAAAATTATAGTTAGAAATTAGTAGAGAAAAAATATTAAAAATAAGCAATTACAGAAATATCCTTAGAGTTTTTTTTTTTTAGAGTTGTCCAGCGTTTCTTTCTTTTATATATAAGATTAGACGAGAAGAAGGTAGTCAATTCCGAAATTAGCTTAAGCGGGTAAAAAGTACACTCTGAACTGTTAAAAATGAGTCGGTAAATAAGTGGAAACGGTTAAACTCGAGAAGTGGTGGGGCCCACACCTAAGAATTTTTTGCAGGTGGAAATTTAGATTTGAAGCCGTGTCTCGAGGCTCACGCGCCGATATCTGTCAACTGGTAAGCCGACATAGATTTGACCGTTGAGGGGGTTTGCCTTTTACTTATAGTATTTTTTACCGCCTTTGGACAATTCTAACCCTGACACGTAGCCACAGTTTGGCAGTTAAAAAATGTACAATGATTGACCAATTCTGAAGACTAACTTTTTAGTTTTTCCTAGTACCGACCGCCGCAGAGTGAAAAATGAAAATAATAGTCTTTTAAGTGCACGCGCCACACACGCGTCTGGGAGAAGCTGATTTTCGTCGTTAAATTTTTAAAGTGTTCAGAGGTTAAATTTAGGTGACGCTTAAATGGCGTAGTAATGATGTCATATTAATCCAGCAACTATTGGCCGTACATTGAACCAAAAAAACCAACGGCTGTGATTTAAATAAATCGGAGCACTGAAGTGTACCTTTATCTAGTAGATTCATCACACACTATTGTAGATAGTTAATACTTAATGCATCGGGTTGACTTTGACCACATTTCTTATTATTTTTTCCACTTTTTTTTGTGTTTCCGATATTTTTGTAATTTGCATAAACATTAAATTATTTATTAAACAATTCAAACTACTCGAATTCGATTATTATTTCATTTAAGTGTATGAATGAAACTCGAAATGATTGTTACTCAAACTTAATTCAAGCATATACATAATTTAAAATGAATTCAATTACTTTAATTATATTTTATTTAACTCGACCTATATTATTTCAAACTCTTTCCACTTTTCTAAAAAAAGTATTCAATGAAACAACTTTTTGTTGGCCATTTATTTAAACGTAGTTGAAAAAGAAAAATAGAGAGTAACAAAAAATGGGTGGTTGACTTATGGATTATTTCATCTTTCAATCTTTTCACAAACCCTAAAGTGATTTGATAACCCATATTAGGTGTTTGCCATTATTTTCTCCATTTTCATTTTATTTTTTAAATTCTTATATATATTTCATCCTATAATTTCCGATTTTTGCCGACTCATGTCTGATTTTATTTAGTTTTAACAAGTATTTTCATTCGAAATTTTGATTTTCAATTTTTCAAATTATTGGAATGGAATTCAGATTTGCTTTTCAATTCGGATAAAAAAAGATCAAAATTTCTCTGAAAGTGTTAACTCTGATCCGATTCATCCGACTTCTTTCATCCCAACTTGCGAACAATCTCGCTCACAAACACAATAATTAGGCAATAAAACTGAAAAGTTGGCCATGAAGACTTTTATGCAATGTTTTGAAACCCGGACCGGACCGGCCGGTTCGACCGGTTCAACCGCGAACCGGTGCCTTGTCCGGTCCGGTTAGACCTATAAAACCGAAAATCACAAAAACCCGGTCAAAATGTCAAAAACCGGTTTTTTGACCGGTCGGACCGGAAACCCGGAAACAGGCTCAAAACCGGTTTTTTGGCTGCACACGCACTTTTTTAATTAATTCAAAAAAAAAAAAAAAGGCAGCCGAAACGGCGTCGTTTTAATGCCCAGAAAAAAAAAAAAAAAAAAAAAAAAAAAAAAAAAAAAAAGAAAAGGAAGTTGAAACGTGGGCTGACTGCTTAGTCACAATAATTGATTATTCAATTCTCTACTTTTTAATTTTTACCCTAGTAAGACAACAAAAGTTACAGAAGGTGTTTTTTATTAAAAAAAGTACGAGCCTCTGCCAGACTACCAGGCACCAGCCCTGTTTTCTTAAAAAAAAAAACAGAGAATTTATTCCCTTCTTCTCCAAGTGCTGCGTTCTCCAAATCAACCATAACCGGCATCGTTGTTCTGAAATTGTCGTCGCTCTGGTAATCCTTTTTTCAGATTATAAA